GTAAAAAGAATGGGCATTATATGAAGGAGTGCAGAATTCTAAAACGGGATCAAGCTGAGAAAAAGGGAAAGACGAAGGAAAAAGGTGATGAAGAGACTACAGCAGTTGTGGTAGCTCATGATGATATGTTTGTGTTCTGTGATGATGGCCAGGTGAATATTATTCATTATGACAATGATTGGGTAGTTGATTCAGGTGCATCCTACCACGTTACTCCTCACAGGCATTTCTTTTCAACCTACACTGAAGGAGATTTCGGATGTGTTAGGATGGGAAATGAGGTCTCATGCAAAATTGTTTGCATGAGAGACATATATTTGGATACAAATACCGGGTACCAGCTGATATTAAAAAATGTTCGACATATCCCTGATATTCGCCTTAATCTTATCTCTACAGGAAAACTTGACGATGAGAGTTACCATAGTTTGCAAGGTGGAGGCAAATGGAAACTCAGCAAAGGAAATCTCGTTGTTGCTAGAGGAAAGAAACAGAGTACTCTCTACGTGATGCAAGCCAAGTTGAGGAAGGGAGAAGTGAACGCAGTTCGTGATTCCTCAATTGACCTTTGGCATAGGCGACTTGGACACATGGGTAAAAAAGGGATTCAGACACTTGTTCGCTAACAGCTCCAACCTGAAGTTAGAGGTAATGCACTTAAACCTTGTGTTGACTGCATTTATGGGAAATAACACAGAGTTGCATTTCAAAATTTTCCTCCATCTAGAAAATTGAATTCTTTAGAATTGGTGCACACTGATGTCTGCTATATGAAAGATAAGTCTCTTGGTGGTGCTGTTTATTTTGTAACCTTTATTGATGACTTTGCTAGAAAGGTTTGGTGTTTTGCTTTGAAATTCAAAGATTAGGTTTTGGATGTGTTTAAAGACTTTCATGGCAAAGTTGAAAGAGAAACTGGTAAGCAGTTAAAGTGTGTACGTGCTGATAATGGTGATAAGTACAGAGAACCATTTGAAATCTATTGCAAGTCCCATGAGATTAGATTGGAGAAGACTGTACCAAAAACTCCTCAAGAGAATGGAGTAGCGGAGAGGATGAACAGATCCATCACTGAGCGGGTCAGATGTATGCTCTCTAATGCTAAGTTGTCAAAATTTTTTTGGGATGAGGCAATGAGGACTGCAGTCACTTTGATAAATCTTTCTCCATCAGTTTCTCTAAATGGTGATATCCCAGAGAGAGTATAGACGGGAAAAGATGTGTCTTTTAAGCATTTAAGAGTTTTTGGTTGCCAGGCATTTGTTCATATTCCCAGAGATGAGAGGTCAAAACTTGACGTAAAATCAAAACAGTGTATTTTCTTGGGTTATGGACATGAAGATTTTGATTATAGGCTGTATGATCCTGTTGAAAATAAGGTGATCATGAGCAGAGATGTTGTCTTCTTTGAAGATCAAACCATTGAAGACATTGATAAAGGTGACAACTCAAAATCCTCAGATGACATTCCTGCTAGCACAAATTCAGGTCCAAATCCAATTCCAGTACCTGTTGATTTTAATCAAGGAGGAGCTGAGACGGAGCAGAGAGAAGATATTAATGATGGTAATAATCCTACTGCTGATGAACCTAAGCATGAGGCGCCACCTACACCACCACCGCCACCACAAGAAGAACTTAGAAAATCTACCAGAGAGAGGAGACCCTCTAGTAGGTATAATCCTCATGAATATTTGTTGTTAACAGATGGAGGAGAGCCAGAGTCCTACAGTAAGACTCTAGAGCATGAGAATAAAGAAGATTGGTTGCGAGCCATGTAATAGGAGATGATATCCCTGCATGAGAATCATACTTATGATTTAGTGAAATTTTCTAAGGGTAAGAGAGATCTGAAAAACAAATGGATTTACAGGTTGAAAACTCAGGAGCACACCTCACAACCAAAGTATAAAGCAAGATTGGTTGTGAAGGGATTTAGTCAAAAGAAGGGTGTAGACTTTGAAGAAATTTTTTCTCCTGTGGTAAAAATGTCATCAATTCGAGTTGTTCTTCATATTGCAGCCAGTTTGAATTTGGAAATCGAGCAACTTGATGTGAAAACAGCTTTCCTGCATGGTGACTTGGAAGAGGAGATCTACATGGAACAACCGGAGGGGTTCAAAGAAAGTGGCAAGGAAAATCTTGTATGCCATCTCAAGAAGAGCTTGTATGGGTTGAAACAGGCACCGAAACAGTGATATAAGAAGTTTGACTCCTTCATGACAGACCATGAGTACCACAGGACTACATCTAATCACTGTGTTTATGTGAAAAATTTTTCAAATGATGATTTTGTTATTCTCCTGCTATATGTTGATGACATATTGATTGTTGGACGTGATACTGTGAAGATTGACAGGTTGAAAAAGGAATTAAGTAAATCTTTTGCAATGAAGGATTTGGGTTCGGCTAGACAGATTCTGGGGATAAAAATCTCACGTAACAGGCAAAATAGGAAGCTCTGATTGTCTCAAGAAAAATATATTGAGAAAGTGCTCAACAGATTTAACATGAGCCATGCCAAGGAAGTCTCAACTCCACTTGCAGGTCACTTTAAATTGAATATCAAACAGTGTCCTACAAGTGAGAAAGATAAAGAAGACATGAAAAAGGTTCCTTATGCTTCGGCCGTTGGTAGCTTGATGTACGCTATGGTTTGCACCAGACCAGATATTGCTCATGTAGTTGGAGTGGTCAATCGGTATCTCTCTAATCCTGATAAGGAGCATTGGAATGCTGTCAAATGGATTTTCAGGTATCTCAAGGGAACTTCTAGATTATGTCTATGTTTCGACAATGGTAAGACTATGCTAGATGGATACACTGATGCAGATATGACAGGTGATCTTGATAATAGGAAGTTCACATCTGGGTACTTGATGATTTTTGCAGGGGGAGCAGTGTCATGGCAAAGTAAATTAAAGAAGTGTATCGCCCTTTCTAGTACGGAAGCAGAGTATATTGCAATTACTGAAACATGTAAGGAGACTCTTTGGTTGCAGAAATTTCTTCAAGAGTTGGGTATGAAACAAGAGAAATATAGTCTTTACTGTGACAATCAGAGCGCTATTCATTTGTGTAAGAACTCCACATTTCACTCTCGATCCAAATACATTGATGTGAGATATCATTGGATTCGGGAAGTATTGGATTCCAAATTATTGACACTTGAGAAGATGCATACAGATGATAATGGTGCTGACATGTTTACCAAGGCACTGCCTAAAAATAAACTCTTATTTTGCAGACAAGAAACAGGTTTGATGGAACCCCCCAAATGAGCTGGAGGAGGAGATTGTTGGATTTGTGGGCCAGCCCATTTGTGGGCCAACCCACTTATGCAAAAAGCTTGAGGGCTTCTCAAGCTTTATTCAAATAGCAGCTGCAGGTAGCCTTTCGGTCCTTTGTGCGAAGAAAAAAAAATTCCAGCCGCCACTTTGAGTGAGACGAAGAGAGAGAGAGACTTCAAGGTCTTGATTGAAGGGCGATTCGAAACCCGATTGAGACGAAATTTTACCCATGCGATCCTCTCATCAACTTCTACTTATCTACCGGTTCAGATTGTAGATTTCCTTTTCGTTTGATAACACCTTTCCAAACCCACTTCTTTGACAGTTGTAGTTTTTGAAGAGTGATTTTGTAGCAGATTGGCTTGATTGGTATTGGTGATATTATTGTCATCCGAATATTTCGGGTAAACCTGTGTATTCTCATTATTGTGATAGTGGAGTTTTTTTTACTGAACTAGATCCCGTGATTTTTTCCAATTTGGATTTTCCACGTAAAAATCCTGGTGTCCTGTGCCTTTTATTTTTCCTTGCATTTTATTATCACTATTGGTATTATTACTTGATGATTTAGTTTATTCCTATTTTAACTGGTATTTGGGAAAAGAAAAATTTATCCTGAGCTAACTCTGATATTGTGTGCCTGTACTGGTACCCCTTTCCCAACATTTATTTACCTTTTTGATATATAATGCTGATCAAGAACAAGCAACGCAAAGAAATATTTGCGGAGCATGATTCTTGAATGATTTTTTATTATTGTACCTCTTCAAAATGCTATAATTCTGATCCGAAGTCAAGTATTACCTATAGTTTTGAGGATATGTCAAGATCACTGCCATATGTTGATGTAGCATATTAGTGGAGCTATACAGGGATTAATACACCAAAAACTAACCAAAAGGAAAAATTTATTGATTTGTGAGGTAATATGTAGAGCAGTGTTTAAAGTGGCGATTTACATGATAGCAGATTAGATTATAACTACTATATATAGTAATTTTGGGTGTTATGGTGCATAATTGTAGCTCTAGAAAGCTTACAGTTTTGAAGAATTAATGCATGGAATTTTTTAGATTTTAGTGAGATAGCTGCTTTGAAGCCATAAAATATTTGAAAAAAAAAAGGAAAAAATCTATAATATCAACTAAAATCTACCCGGTTTCAGATTTGAAGAAATGCTTTCCTTAGCTCGCGTTTTTATATTCATCAATAGATCTAGCTAGTTGGAGAATACTACTACGTAAGAAAATAGAGAAAGGTTAGAGGGTTTGGATAAACATGAGATTGAGCAAATATTAGAGCAACTAACAATTAGACATCTCTTTAGGGGAAAAATTAGAATATTCAACCTAAAACAAGGTTGTCGGCAGATTACCGATTGTCTAAACTAAGAAAGCCAATTTAATTCAAGCAATTATGATATGCGTTTAAAGTTTATATAAATCTGGCAATTGCGTGCCGCAATTGGGTGAATGGGCATTTCAAAGAATCTTCAAATTTAGTGAGAGTAGCTCTCGATGATTATCAAAGATGTGCCCAGACATTATGGACCTTATCATTTCCACGAGAATTTGTTATATATTAATTTTAGTACGTTGAAGGGATATTATATATAGAGTCTATAGTTGTACTCCATCAAATGTAATTGTAGCAATTCCTTACCCTTTTCTGGTTTCATTTCACCATAAACATTTTTATCTTAGACAGATTATGGAAGCAATTTTGCTTCTTCACCCATCTGATTCCAGTATGTGGTACTAGTTATAATATGATAGGGATGTTCGAGGATAATTATTAGTCATTTTTCTTTTCTTTTTTTTTTTTTTGTGCAAGACATGTAATTAGTTCGTCCAAGAAAGATCAGGAAAGTATTAAATGATTTGGTTTAATATTGCCGAATTTGCAACTAAATTTAGCTATGCCTTTTGTCAACTAGTCACATTTCATTTAATCTGGTGAATGAATGAGCTTATAAGTGCCAATGAATGCAGAATCGCAAATCACAACCACCCCCCATCCCCATCCAACCTTGTCACAAGAAACAGTGGCAACAAGATGCTGAGATTTGGTCTTTTTGGGTTGTTTTGCAGCCTCATGGCAGCTCAATACATACAAACCATAAGCTCAGACGAAGCACTTGTCGATTACATTTGCTCAAAAACACCAGAATATGCATATTGCCAAATTTGTTTTTCGCAGGACGAGCATCGTTACGAAAGGGATAAAAGAGGGCTTGCACTATTAGCCATTTCTTGTTGTCAATCACAGAGTGATAGTGTTCTTATAGATCTTGAAGCCTACCAAAGAAATTCAACAGATACCGGCTTTAAGGAAACATGCCGATCATGCCAAATTTATGTTAAATCTGCTCTGTTGAATATACTAAATGCAAAAATTTATTGCAACCATGGACGTTATCATGAAGCTTCAGCAGTCATACACAATGCTATACGTGATCATCAGAGATGTCTCAAGAGAATTGGAAGCAAGCAGATTCCCCCGGTTTTTGATGGTGAATTCTTTTTGTTAAAGGGCTTCTATAGAGTTGCTAGAGCAATTCTCCTTCATATTAAATGATATTATGAGTTTGGAACTGTATTTGATTGAGTGGTATGAATTTCAATTGAACTAATTGTGGAAGGAAATTTATGGAATCTCCAGTTCCAGGAGAGAACTTAGATCCAAAACTTGGTTACCTTGCCCTCAGTAACATGTAAAAAATGTGCCTCGAGAATGGTTACCTTGCCATTTTCACCAGAATTTGGTATTGATTTCACTATGTTAACGGGACAATATAGAGTTTCTGTAGCTCCACTTCTTGAAGTATAAATAAAAATATAACAATTCTTTACCCTTTTTTTTTTCCTTTTGCTTTCATCATAAGCTTTTTATCTTAAAAAAAAAAAAAGCATCTTAGCCAGGGATTGCTATGACACATGCATGTTGCCTTTTAACCACCTTATCCATATGAATTGAATATACGGTCCTAGTTAGACCATAGGGATGTCTTCTAAATATAATTCTTACTCATTAGTTTAAGGTGTATTTCTTATTCAGACTTGTCATTGAATCATCCATCAAAGATAAGATATGGTACCAGTGTGGTTGTCATTGATTGCCAAGCGTGGTGAAGAATGATGCAAGAGTCACAAGAAAGTATTAAATGAGGTTGGCTTGATATAGCCAAAACCATTGCTGAAATTAGCTATGCTTCATGTCAATTAGTTGTTTTTCGTGTACGAGGATGGTGATTCCGGCTCGGCTTACCGAGTCAGCCCTCCTTTCTACCTAAGGATGCTTATAATGGTCCTATCGACTCGGCCGTACCTAGATGGTCTCTACATCACTTGGGACGACCCCTATCCGTTTTGATCACCCCAGATAACATCGCATACGAATAACCGAGGTGACTCCTGCATTTACTATCATCTCGGTTTGGCATTATGCCTGACACGACAATCGAGGTCCTGTCCAAGATCCTGACATCTGCAGGGCAGACAGGACATCTGACGGGACCTCTCCACTGCACCGACTTGTCAAATCAGGTTGATACGCTCAATCTCAGTTAGATTTTGGGAGCTTGGACCCCACTACCCTTCCCTCCAAGTTGTCTCATATAAATATCAGAACTTCTCACTCAAAAAAGTCACTACTGAATATTCTGTAAGAACCACTTTCAAAAACTCCCTCCACTTTGATTCTTATCCAAACTGACTAGATCGTCGGAGGAGAATCGAGGGATATAGCCCCGTCTCTTGTAATCTTAATAGGTGCCTCTTGAGATAGCTGTGCCTCGCTTAGGAAGAAATCCCCAGCTGGTCAGCACAGCTCACCAGACCAGAAATCACCTCTTCAATGTACGTTTTGTAAATCAACAGAGTTTAAAGTACCAATGAATCCACAGCTGCAACCACCACAGCATTTGATCCCATAAACTTAACAGTGACAACAACATGCTCAAACTTGGTCTCCTTGCCTCAATTTGCATCCTCTTAGCAGGTGAATACAAAGCAATTTGTAGATGCAAATGAAGCACGGATTAATTAGGTACATGTCTTCAAAAACACCAGAAATGGATCCGTATCACAACGAAAGGGATAAAATAATGCTTGGATTGTGTCTGCTGTTTCTTGTTCTCAATTGCAAAGTTATAGTGTTCTTGACGATCTTAAAGCCTGCCGAGAAAATGCAACAGATCCTGAAATTGGGTATCTATCGGTTTCATCATTCACAGCTCTGCTCGGCTTTGCAGGATATACTGAATGCAATATATATAATTGGGCCCTCAAACGTTATTATGAAGCTTCATCTCTGGGGATGATGCAATGTGTGATCATCAAATATGTGTCAAGCGAATGGGAAACACAAAAATTCCCCATCTTTTGATGCTCAACTCTTTTAAGTTAAAGGCTCTCTATAGAGTTTCGGGAGCAATTCTCCATCACATAAATTAATAATATAAACTGTCTGGATTTTTATTGAATTGAATAGTATGACGTGTGGAAAAAAAGGTACAAAATGTTTGAATATTTGTGATTTAGGTACGTATCAAGCTAGATGACATCTCAAGGCTGGTCCTGTTTTTATTGAATTTTTTTTTTTCGTGGAAGTTAAATTCAACCAATGTTGCATATGATCGGACAATCTTAGCATTCAAGAATTGTCTTGTTAGAGGATAGTGGTAGGTTTAAGATTTTCTTGCGACAAAATCTCAAATTGATTGGGTTCAGCTCATTTGAAGGACTGTTCAATTGTCGGTCAACAAATATTTAGGAAATAAATTTATGTAATGTGCACAGCAGGGATGGTTTTTACCCGTACTGTTAGTGCTAAATAACCTAAACTAACTACAGTTTCTACTCAAATTAATGGTTTTGCAGCCTAAACTTCCTGCAAAGAAAACAAAGAATGAGGAATAAAATGCAGGAATCTATAAACCACACCACTCAAGCAGGCGAATCGTCTTTAGCAGGATCACTTGGGAGAAGCATAATTTCCAAAGCCTATTCTCATGTTTATTTACAATTCTAGAGCTTTATCAAAAAAATTCCTGTCGATAACAAAATGAATTTGACTAGCTTTAAATCATTCAGTTGATGCCAATTTCTCTTCATCAACCTCAAAGGCTTTTCTCGCTTGTTTCAACTCTTCATTCATAGACAGCAATTCTGTACAGCGATTAAGCTTCGGGAGGTCCTGCAGAATCAGATAATGACTTATGATTAGTCCAAACTGACTGTAGCCAAAATTTTGTAACATACATAAAGCTTGTCAATTGAATTGAAATAATCATAACACAAAAACTTCCATAGAAACTGAGGATATCCAAATTTAAGTACAGCGGCAAAGATAATTGTAATACAGGTATTGGTAATCCTCAGGGAGAGTCGAACACAATATGGAGGATTTATCCAATTTTTCGATCTGAATGGCATCAACAAGGCAGCCGAGCAGAATATACTCAGGTTAGTTAACAATTGTCAAGAGAGCTATTTGTTCAGAATCCCTTTTAAACCAACAAAAAAACCAAAAGCAAAAATTCCTCCAAGGTGGCAAAAGAATTAAACAAAAATTGAGACATAAAAAGGATCAGACAGGTCTTAAAGCCAATGGCACATCGAATGGACAGGAAGGATCAGACAGGTCTTTAAAGCCAATGGCACATCGAATGGACAGGAAATGCAGATGAAGAATAAATCTGGCAAGGGAAAAAACATTATGTCACCCCCCATGGCCAGAAAACAACTCCATGTATGGCGAATGATGAAATGCAAGTGAAATAGTCATCCCAAGTTAAAAACAAACACAAAATGAAACCACTAAGATTAAGGATTCTCCAATCAGAAGGAGCCAATTAAGTTTTTCTCTGACCAACTACATGAGTGCTGAGAAATCAATGTCTTAATCTCCTGTATATACTGCAAGATGGAATTTATGAAATTATACTTCTTGGGCTGCAAAGATGCTTTCCAATAGGGTGCCTAGAATTATAAGTATCAAGTTTTTATGTACTTTTTAATTCAGTGAAAAAAGAATAAAATGATCCGTAAACCTTCACTCGCGAACTAAACTCCTATCATTTTGGGATGAAGATAAAAATTGTCAGATGTGCTGTTATATTGAACATTAAGAATCTCAGACACTATTCTGGGCAACTTGAAAATTCCAAGTATGTTATACATCTAACAGCTATATAAACACAACAACAAAAGCCCATCAACTCATATCCTTATATTCTGCAGCAACTTCATAAATTCTAAGGATCTGGTTTAAAGTTATAGCTTTATCTTCAACCATTTGGTGAGATATTTAACTTCCTCAACAAGAATGGCCATGCAATACACCTAGGCTTGTCAACGGGGCCGGGGCCGGGGCGGGGTCCGGGCTGGAATTCATTATTCTAGACCCGGACCCGGCACACTATATCGGATCCAAACCCGACCCGTTTACCCGACGGGTCTTTACTCTGTTCCGGATCCGGATCCGGATCCGACGGGTCCCAGATCCGGGTCTACCCGAAAAAAAACTAAAAAAATTTATAATTCCTAACAAAAATGAGAAAAAAACATATATTTATAAACTAATTTCTAACTAATACACAAAAAATCAAATAAGAAAAGAAATCAAATTAACCTTACTCAAATACATCACCCTAATCAAATCATATTGATTAGGATCCGGGTCCAATTATATTGATTACTCAAATACATCATCCTAATCAAATTATATTAATAAATATATATATTTTAAATTATTAATCCATTTATATCCGGATCTGGGTCCAATACGGGTCGAAATACTATATTCCGTATCCGACCCGTTTTTTTGTTTGGCAAAACGGATCCGGATCCGGGTCCGGGTAACGGAATTAAATCCCTACCCATACCCGGATAAATTTGACGGATCCGGTCCGGGTCCGGGTCTAGACCCGGACCGTTGACAGCCCTAAATACACCCACTATATCACAAGTAAACACTCTACCCCAGCCAACTCCCATTACCTTTTTCTGGTTTGATGGAGCTGAATTGCAAGAAAAATGAATAATGTCTTAAAACAACTAAATTCATATGTCAAATAAGTCTTATAAAAAGTAAGGCTAAGCATATATGGAGGAAAATGAAATGGCCAAAGCATGCATTATACATGGTATTAAAATCATGTGCTGCAGGAAATTTTACCTTCCTGATTAAAAACAGAAAGTCCTCAGTCAGAAGCTTTCCTCTTTTTGATGCAATATCTTGAGCTTTATGGACCTGCAAAAGTTAAATATACAGAATCAGACCAAAAGAAACATACAAGCTCTCCATTATAAGTTCCCTGAGTAGTTGTTTATCTTCTATACGAAGGATTTTAGCTTACCATATCTGTGACATACTCCACAACAATGTCTTCCACAAGTGCCACAGTCTCGGGAAGAGGCTGCAAGTATAACAGAAGAAGGTACGACACAAGTAAGATTTTTTCCTAAAAAAATAACCAAGAAAAAAGGACACACATGATTTTACACCAAATAAAGCTAGAACAAAACCATTTCATGATAGCTGCAACAATATGATTGCTAAGCCTATAAAATCGC